TACGCCCCCCGCCTCCTTGCGTGCAAACACAGGTGGCCAAGCCCCCTTCCACTCTCGGTCTGGCTGGATTTCACCTCTCTCCGTGTGTCCATCTTCCACCCTGCAGCATGATAGGGAAGTGGAATCTGGCTGGCCGGTCGCCTGCCCAGCCCTGGCGCCTTACGGGCTGGATGGAGGACCTGAGGGGAGAGGTGCCTGTGCTGCGGGAGGGGACCTGGCTGGCACAGCACCCCGCAAAGCCCCTGTAGGGACGTGGCTTCATCTCAGTTCATCATCTCGGCATCGAGCTCTCAGCTGCTCTGTCTCTGTGTGCCAGCCTTTCCCTGTCAGGAGGCTCCGAACCAACCCGCTGTCACCCCTCCTTCCCCCATGCGTGCCGTCCGTTCTTGAGGACTGCGGCGTCCGCCCCGCAGAGCCTGCTGTGGGGTGGGGGGCCCTTCCCTGTAGAAGGGGCTTCAGCTGCCATATGGGACATGTCCTCGTCAAACAGGAGCCAGGACACCGTGCCACCGTGCCTGGTGTAGTCTCGAGGACCTGTATGGAGAGGAGGCTGTCTCGGCTTCGCAGAAATCCCTGCCGGCACCCTGGGCCGCAGAAGGTTAATATCTTCAGACTGTTGCTGGGAACTGAGGCTGGGAACCTGGATCTGTTAAAATGTGTGACTTAAAGAGGACTTGTCCGATGTGTTTGCCTTTGGGGGTAAGGATGGGGGAGGGTGGAGGAACAGACGGACATGGACTAATGTCTTTCTGCATCCACTGGACTACTCTTAGAGGTGATTTTTTGGTTGGTTTCCCCCCCCAATAAATGTCTGTCAGAACCTTTCTGTCCCTCTTTCTTCTTTCCTGTGGGGAAAGAGAGTCCTGTTGGTGCTTCCCCTGCTCCTCCCAGCCTGTCTCCCATTTGATACACTGGAGCCTGTTCTCCGGGAAACTGTAATTTATAATGAATTCTATTAAAAGATTTGTAACTTTTCTTAAAAAACTGTGTTAACTGCCTGAATCTCTTGAAGTACTGTTCACCTTGGCGCAACTCCTGGCTGGGAGTGTCCAGGGAAAGCAGAGCTCCCTTCCCTGCGTGTCCTGTGGGGAAACTGGCCGTTCTCACCCTTCCTGCTGGGAGTCTGCAGTGAGTAAGTGGACGGGGCGAGCGTGTCGGAGAGACGGCACTCCCCAGGTGGCTTGCTGAAACCCCGGGGGAGGTTTCACTCTGTGGCCCAAAGAGCAGCGTCATCGTTGGTGGCTTGTCCTCCTCCCCGGCCCGTGCAGGTCTCTTCTCCCTGCCTGATCTGGACGTAGCGGCCCACGGGGTGCGCTGCTTTGTCTACATGGTTTTCTGTCAGCTCTGGAGCCAGGTGCGGGTGTTTGGGGCTGTAGGAGACCGTTTCACGTGTGTGTAGCAGGGGCAGCGGGAAAGGTAAAAGGCCGGTCCCTGCCTTGCCGATATTTTGTCCAAACGCGGTCAAGTTTTAGGAACAAAGGGCAGCATCCTGCTCTGCTCCGTGGCCCTGGAGGTGGCTGCTGCCCGCTTCAAGCACCGGGGGACTCGCGGTGCGT